CAAGAGGGAGGACCCCCGCCACCGCCGTCAGCCCCGGGCCATCGCCGGCGGCGTCCTTCGGCGGCGGCGGAGGGAGGGGAGGAAGGGAGGGGAGGGACCGGCGGCGGCTAGGGATCGAGATCCCGCCCGAGTCGCCCGAGCGGGGGCGACGCGGGGGGCCTCGTGGTTTGATGAAGAGTACTACTCGTATGTAACTGGGATACCTAAACAAAAGGTGAAATGCTCAACTTCAACACAGCCTAGTGTGATGATTTCTTGGAACCTAGCTCTTTTGCTGGAACATGAATGTCTGCTACAGGGGTGTAGTTACTACTCCCTTCGTCCCAAAATAAATGTCTCAAGCTTAGTACAACTTTGTACTAGAGTTAGTACAAAGTTGAGACACTTATTTTGGGACGGAGGGAGTATTTATTTCCAAATGGTCGAATGATTCCCTCTTTCTAATATGATGAGAGAAAAATAGGCTAGTTAATTTTAGCCTACATGCATGCATGTACATAGCAAGCATTCTATCAATTTCGTGCTTTCAGGACAAGTGCTCAAATGTACTGTTGCAGAATAGAGATGATCATGTGTATCATGAACAGTAAAGCATGGATGAAACACACAATCAACTCAAGGAACACTCTAACAAGTTGGTTTTCCTGATTGCTAGTTCCTCCACCTGAACTTAAACCTAGGCCAATATGGTACATATGTTTCTCTGAAAATAATTCTCAAGTTGAATCAAATATGTGCGCCTGGAAGTACGGTTGTTCTTCTCTCAAAATATTGGTCCGGTGAACCTAATTTTAGGTGATAAAGTGCAGACATACATTTGAAAAATAACTCGTGCACATGCGTCCCTGATCCTAACAGTATCATGACTCTATTTGTTTCTTGTTCAAGGGAAGCATGCAACAAGATGCTCATATTCAGAGCAACACACACAAACAGTTCTATGCAATTATGAATAAGGTCTTTAATGGTCAGAGATATGCATGTAAACTTTTCCAGTCCACAATCAAATATGTAATAGAGTATATGCTGGCAGGTAGAGTTTATGGTTGACAAAAATGCCCCACGGGTTTGTCCTTCTGTAGCAAAAATGCATTTCTACAGAAATCCTTATTCAGCATATATGATGTTGCCGTTTGCTACTGCCTGACATGATCCATGACCTAAACCTCTGAACCTGACACGTACACAAATCCTTTCTTAGCATGACGTTCAGTTTCAGCTGATATAGTTACATGCATGTTAACCATATTTATTCCTCTCATCTGTTCGTCATTACCATATACTTACTTTAGCATCTATAAACCCCTCTCCATGTTTTTCTGGACGAACACGATTCTCTTATATATCCACTGTGCCTTTATTATATTCACAGGTTAATGCCAAGTAAGAAATCCGACAATAATAAGAATAGAGGATGGTACATGTTCCCAAAGTCTACACGGCCCTCCATAGTCCATAGACTCCATGCACACTAGGCTTTACCGTACTCGAGGATGTCGAGATCTGACTGGTTGGGGCTTGGCCTCCTAATGTCCTTGCTTCCTCCTTACGGGCTGGTGGTCTTCAGCCGTGCCGTGTAACTGCCTCTTTTCTCCCTGCAGGTGCTTGGTCTCTAGGTCACCACTGTGCCGCCAAAGCTTGGATTGCTGGAAAATTTCTATAGTGGTGAGAAAAAGAAGCGTGCGGTCTGTTTTGCAATATTGCTCGATGATGCGGCCCAAATGCAGTAGAATAATCCTCGATGTTTCTCAAGCCTATGCAATTCATTTAGATAAGACATGATCGCTACCTCTTGCATATATGGATGATCTTGATTCATCATCACTAGAGGAGCATAACTAAGTATCTGGAATGCAACTATATTTATCAGAGTATTTAACCAAAAACTACCACATTTCACGGAAACGTGACAGAAAACTACCACTTTACAATTTTGTGCGGAAAACTACCACTTTTGTCCTAATTCATGGCAAAAAACTACCAAGTCTCGAAACCGGTCGCTTCGTCCGCGCTAAGCACCAAACTGACCAGCCGGTCCCATGTTTCAGGTGTCACGGTGGCCAACCGACGCCCGCCGCGTGTTAACGACGCGTCTGCGGTCGGAAACGGCGGTTGTCAGTTTGCGTTCAATGCACCAAAATGTGGGACCCGTCATTTGATGTTGATCCTCTGACGACGCCGTTTCCGACCGCGGACGCGCTGTTAACGTGCGGCGGGCATCGGTTGGCCACCGTGGCGCCTGAAACGTGGGACTGGCTGGTTAGTTTGGTGCTTAGCGCGGGTGAAGCGACCGGTTTCGAGACTTGGTAGTTTTTTGCCACGGACTAGGACAAAAGTGGTAGTTTTCCGCACAAAATCGTAAAGTGGTAGTTTTTTGTCACGTTTTCGTGAAATGTGGTAGTTTTTGGTTAAATATTCATATTTATCACTTAGGAATTTCTGATGTGAAGGTGCTAACTACAATGTATTTATCAGCTTGTGCGGCTGTAGGTATCTCCAGTTTCAGCTGACGCACTGTTTCTCATCTTTTATGATAGAATCATATTTTACCGTGTCATGTGCTCACATGGCTTTTATGTGATTGTACCATATGCATCTACATGGCCTTTATGTGATTGTACCATATATATCATGTTGTGACGAGTTAATTTGAGGTGTAAACCGACCTCTGGGTTCAGGTTCTAGTTTTAATTTCGATGCCTTTTCATGTTACAATGCAAGCTACATACTTTAATTCATCATATTTATCGTTGTTGCTGCTACATAAAACAGTAACAATACATTATAATGAGGTTTCAGAACTGAAATCAAACATCTCAATGGATTATTACTTGTACAATATGTACAGAGGATCATCCCTTAACTTACATGTGCAACTGTTTCCCTTTTGGAAATAACAAGATGGATGTAATTACAGATGCAATACTTGTTGTGCAACCATCTAACATTGCCTTACATATGGGGGTCAAATTGAGATGGTTTCTTCAGGCTATTAGTTTGATTCGCACCAAAAAATACATCACTTGTTTACAAGTTGTGAGCTATTCTAACCTTCATTCGTAGCATCAATGGATGGATGTAGAGAGAACATAAAGATGGCTAAGACATCTTTCCAGTCTTAAACGTCGATGGCAAAGTCTCATGCTTCTGCACGTAGACAAACTTAGTTCTTGTAGTGAAGTTAGCTCAACCAACCAACTCGGGAGTTCTGGCTGGTCGAGTGACAATGATTCGAGAGAGGAGAGGTGTTCAATAATCTCAGTTGAGGTGGTCAGATCACTGCAACGGCCGATAGTCAACTTACGGAGGGCAGGGAGGTGATGAAGCAACCTCCACTGATGCATGGGCACCTTGCTGCTACAAACAGTCAAATCAGTTAATGGAGATGAGGAGGAAGCAGCACTGTGTGACAAGCTCTCTCCCAATGATAATAGCACATTATCACAATCTATTATCATCAAGACCGATATATCTCTAGGCAGACATGGTTGTATCCTCAACTTTGCACATCGCTCTACGGTCAATGCCTCAAGCTTAGGGAACATTAACTCATTTGCACCTCCCTCCCCACTGGTATATGCAGTGTTGAACTCTTCCAAGCTCTCCATGCCATAGAGACCCAGCTCTAGTAGATTTGGTAGTTGACCGAGTGGTGGTAAGCTCTTGCACTTATGAAAATCACACAGATTTATCTTACAAAGATTAGGTAGGTACTGCCTAATGCTCATAAACCAATCAGGAATGGTGACACTCCTGTAACCAGTTATAGACAATATCTGTGTACTGCTTGGTGGCACTAGTTTTTCCAACACCTCCTTGTCATCCACAAACCTAACAGCAGGTACAGTCCATTGAAATGCTAGCATTTTAATTTTTTGTTTCTCGATCAGTTTTATACTCTCAGCCTCTTCTGCAGACTTCACATCTTCAAGTCTATCTATCGTCAGCATATCAGGATTTGTAGGCTGAAGCAGGGTGATATTGCTGCTACTTTTATCACTAGAAGGATGCACCACAAAGTGTGGCAACAAGGCAAGATTTAACCAGGAGAGCCCGGATTTAACAAAGTTGTCCACATTTAGAACCTTCAAATTAACTATTTGAAACATACTATCAGGAAGCTTCTCTATGTTGGAGCAGCCTATGAGGTCCAATGTATGAAGTTTCCTGAGGTTGCCAAAACTTTCTGGTATACTAGAAAGCCCTCGATTCTCAGTTAAGTCCAGATGCTCTAGATTGGAAAGAGTGCTGAGAGAGCCAAGCAAGATGTCAACTTGATCTTTTGACTGGGCCATAGCATGCATGCACCCTGATAGATTTAGATACCTGAGTTTGGTTAGATTACCAATAACCTCTGTCAGACCTCTCCTATTTGCTACAATAATAAACTGAACTGATAAATTCAAATATTGAAGCTTTGTAAAGCCGCCAAAAGCTTTTGAAATAGACATATAGCAATGGGATAAATCCAGATGCACCAGCTGCTTCAGCTCTGCGAATGACTTTGGGAGTTCACGTATTCCATGGCAACCTGATAGATCAAGATGCATCAGACCCTTCATATCACCAATTGAATCCGGCAGTGCTGAGAGATTATGAGAGCCTCTAAGGTTGAGATAATTTAATTCTGAGAGCTCGGTGATACAATTGGGAATCATGTGATCTCGGATCCTTGGAGCACAAAGAAACCTCAACAGTTTCAGTTGACCAACAGATTCTGGCAACTTCCGTATAAGGCATTCACTTAAATCCAAGACACGGCATTCACTTAAATCCAAGACAGGGAGGCATGTACCTAGTGAAAATGCATCACCATGGAGTTCCAATTTGCCACAGTCTAGAAAATGCAACGCCTTTATATTTGCAGGAGAAGTCGCGGATAACTGCAATGGCTTGCTACAATCTGTGAGAAATGCATAGAGGCATCCATTTCCCATAACACTGCCATTACTGTTTACTTGATCGGCCAAGATTGCTCTTGCAAGATCATGCACTAGGTCATGCATCGTGAACAGTGTAACATCTTTGTCTCACCATCTATCACTCTGCAGCAAAGAAGACCTAATTGTGTTAGAGTTTTGAATTTATTTTGTTTTGTAGAAGTATATTTATGAATGGAAGTACTACCATTAAGTGTAAACAGAGTAGTAATACATAATAACTCACCATAGGTGTCTTTGAATACTGAAGGAAGGACATCCCCAAAAGTTGCACGACATATTTCTCGCAGAGCTGCATAGAGTCAAATATCCTAGACCGCTCAGTGAATCCAAGAGCTATCCATTGGTGAATTAGATCATACTTCACTATATTATGACCTTTTGGAAACACTGCACAATAGGTAAAGCATGACCTCAAGCATTCAGGCATATGACTATAGCTTATCAGCATGGACGCAAGCACTTCATGATCTCTTGACGATGATTCCTCCAAAATAGATACATTCCAGATATAATGGTCTCTTACTGACTCCCACTCATCAGGCGTCTTCCCCTTCAGCGTGTATCCAAGTGATTGAGCCGCTAAGGCCACACCTCCACATTTGGTTGCAATCTCCCTTCCTATATGCTTCAATCGTTTTTTGTCAACTCGATCGTTAAAGGCAGTTTTCTGTTTTATTATTTTCCAGCAGATTTTATCTGTTAAAGTCTCTAGCTCGTATGGTTCAACTGTATGACAAATTTCCCTTGCAACTGCTTCATCTCTTGTGGTTACAATAACTGTCACCATACTGTCCACACCAACTCTTAACATAGCCATGAGAGAATTTAGTGTATCTGGATTCTTCTCCCACACGTCATCTAAGACAATAAGAACCTTCTTACCAGCAAGTAGCTCTCTGAGTTTAATATGTATCATCTGCCTTTCAGCTACATGGCTCTCCTCTGATAGCTGTGATATTATAGAGTTGCCAATTTTATTCAGGACAAGATTTTGGGACACATAGACCCAAACCTTAAAGTAACCTGCAAACTGAGCATCATCGAAAACTAGTTGGGCCAGCGTTGTCTTACCAATACCTCCAAAGCCATATATTGGAAGGACGGTGAACTCAGGTGAGATACTCCCAGATAAAGTAGCTACCATGTTATCTCTTTCTTCAGTCCTCTCGATGATTAGTGATTCTTCCACATCTGATGATGTTTCCTGTATGTCAGTTTCTTGCTGCACATTAGAGCTATCATCGGGCATCAAACTGAAACGCTGGTTTTTTGTCATATCATATAGTCCATCTGTCAACTTCTTTAACTCATTAGCCATTGGATTCTCTGGACCAATTGTGGGACCAGGGGCCACAACTGCTGACTGCAAGTTGTAAGTACATAGAAAGATCATAACAGATATCATGGTCATAATTTCGTGGAATATAATTCATGAGATGCAAAATTGTACATATCTGTAGCCTAAATAAGTTTACATTTATTTCAAATTAAACCAAAGTAGTAGATGAATTTTAGTTAAACTCCTTGAAGAATGTGCAAACCAGCTGGGAAAAGCAGCAAGACAGTAATACGTCAAGATGAAACCTTGGAGAAAATGCAGCACCGAACACATAAGAAGTTTCATAAGGCATGTATATGTGACCATACCTTTGCTACTGATGAACTACTACTCGCCCCAGTTTCAGTAGCGAACTCATCCGCATTTCTTGTTGCGCCAAGCCTATCAATTATATGCTGAGTATCTGGTCGTTTCGCCGGGTTAAAGTCAGCGCACTCGATCGCTATCTCAGCGCATACTCGTACTTGTACCAGTTGTTTGTCTCCCTGAGATTTCTCCAACCTACTTCTCCACCTCTCAAGTATCTACGAAATTGCCATCATGGGTTATGATTTATGTAGAGCAACATATATTTTATAGCACCCATCTTCCGCATATCTTCATATATATAAAGAAGAGAGGCAAAATAATGATAAAAAAGGCATGAAATGCTTGTTAAAGGAGACATAAAATCATAGCAAAACCTCATGCCACCTAGAAGCAACTGGCCTCCAGCCATTACAAAGACTTGTAATTGCACAGCAAGTAACACACTAACATAATGAGCCTAGATAAAATAAACTACTCAATTTGACAAAGGAGAAACATTTTAGACAGGAAACTGTATTATAGCAACCAATATATAACTATAGGGATAGAGTTACATGTCTACTTGACCCAGTAGGATGTAAGGACAATTTACCACACATCACTATAAACATGTTACACTTATAACACTGCTCATCTAGATTTTAATAGATGGTAACAGCATAAGATGCATTGTGGAAACATTTCATTATTCATACGTATATAATTTTACAGTCACCGATACCATGAGAAAAAAATGCTTGTTTCTTGCGCAGCTAATTTGTTCTTTGCAGTACTATGTGATACAAAAAAGATGGTATGCTACGTCTAAATGGAAGAATGATATATTATACAAAGCAGTGTAACACAGTAATTTTGAAATCAAGCCTTTATATTAGAACGAACTCATCTTACATTATCAATATCAGCATATCCCCTGTCTCCTGTTAGTATCTCTATGATTATCATACCAAGACTATAAATGTCTAACTTGAATGTGATCTGTCTGCGCGTATAAAATTCTGGTGCCAAATATCCCCTGCATGAATATTTATATATCTAATCAATTAATGGAAAAAGGGATTGATATTCATTCATACATAACAAAAAAAAATGCTATTACAGGAGTCATAGCAAGCTTACATAGTTCCAATTAGTTTTGATGTAATAGCCTGGCTTTGCTTTTCACCAAAGCACCTTGATAGACCAAAATCACCAATTTTCGGCAACATGTTATCATCTAGCAGTATATTTGCCGGTTTAAGATCCAAGTGAACGATGTGATTTTGGTGAAGATAATATAAACCATCACAAATTCCATTGATGATTTGATAGCGCTTTCTCCATTCAAGTCCACAAGATACATCTACAAAACGGAGAGCAGAAAGTTGGTTTTGTATTTGAGAAACTTGGAGTCCTCAATCACTAAACACTAAATAAATGGATGCTTGAACCAAATACATGCGACATCATCCTACCAGTGATTTGCTTATCTAGACTGCCTTTAGGTAGATATTCAAAGCAGAGTAGCCTTTGTCGTACATCTGCTAAGACAAGTTTTCCCTCACAGACTACCATTTCCCCTTGTGTGTCAGAACAATATCCTAGGAACCGTACTATATTTTTGTGCTTTGCCTTCATCAGACAATGAATTTCTTCGCTGAATTTCTTCTCATCCATATCAACCAAATCGTGAAGCTTCTTCACAGCAACCGTGCCACTGTCAAGCATTCCCTATAACCGCAACATGCTTTGGCAGCGTTAACTTAAGTTTCACATAAACCGTGATCAAGACGAGGGCAGCTGACTAACTGAGAGTTACTGTATAAGCATACCCTGTAAACCCTTGCAAAGCCACCACAGCCAATTTCTTTGTCATCAGAAAAATTGCTGGTGATGTGTGCCAGAAGTGATAACGGTAGGGCCTTTGGTTCTGCGCTTTCATCAAATAGAATACGCTCCAGTACTTTTTGTGAGGTAATAGTTTCGCGATCCATTTGCAGTTACAAACACAATACTATTGGAACAAGGAAAAAAATGCATTGTTCATTAGTCTATTAGATCTGGTTCTTAGATTATCAACGCTCATGACAACACACTTCTTTTAGGAAAACATTAGACAGCACTACACTTTAGCATGAGACATGTCACAAAACCACTCTTAACATCTCACATTTTGAATGGAACAAATCCACGAGGTTAGACTCGATAAAGTTTCTTATTTTGAACTGCGTGTGAAATAGTTCATAGTCAAATTCATATGGTAATCCTACAAATCAAAAAAGCTTTATAGGGAAAAAATCCCAAAGAACAGAATCCTCAAAAATTCCATATAATTCCTTTGAAACAAGAAAAGGTTGTTATATGAATACATTTAAAAAAAGCTCACTTCTCAGAATTCCAATGGGATTTATTTGAATCAAAGATGCCACTGTGTGGATGATTGGTCCAAAGCGTCATGAACATGATAAAGAAGCAGCATGTCATCTAACTAAAGATAGCAATCATGCATGCAGGAGAAGATATTTTGCTGGCACAAAAAAAATGGCAATTACCTGAAGAAGCTCAGCTGCAGTCCTGTGAAGCGATTACCTGAAGAAGCTCAGCTACAGTCCTCTGAAGCGATCGTGAATTTCAGATGTTGCCCAGTCCTGTCTAGACGGGGATTTTTACAGCAAAGAGGTGAGACCTAGATCCTGAACACAAATAGGACAAAAGAACTGCATCAGAAATATCCGATTACTCCGTGTGCGGGTACCAGCTGGATGACACTGCTAATATGCGGTTGAAAGTTTACTTGCAGGTTGCAAACGCAGTGCCTATCTCAACAGAGTTGCTTGTTAACATTGCCAACTAGGTGGGGATTGTACAGCCCGGCTCTCCTGTGAGAGGGAAGTGATAAGTCCGTGGAAAAAATTGTGTGGTGTGTGATTGCCTCAAATGGCTGGTTCAATCTTTCTGTACCACAACATATTCTTCCTCGATGAAAATGAAATTAGGGGGAAATTGTCATGAGAGCTACGCATGGGGCTAAGGTTGGATCACCATGTGAATGCTCTAGCCTTGCAGCCCACTAAAGCCAGATTGCCTGGACGTCACTGTTCTTCATTTCATTTTGTTTTTTGATTTTATTTTGGTTTTTTACAGAATGTTTACACAAAATCGTGGTGCAAGAGTCAAGATGGAAGCAAAATCAGTACCTGTTGTCTCCGGATTGCAGTGGAATCAATGATTCTGTGCCTCTGCTTCCTCACCCTTTGTTTCAGTCACCAGAACCATATCTTGGCTTGTCAACCCATCCAAGTCGACACAAGCTTCAGTGTCAGTGTGCGCAGCACCCAGGTCACCGCAACCATTCGCATTAGGCAAGCTGGAACGTCTACACAGAATCATTTTGCAGCAATCAAGATGGTTGCAAAATCAAAATCAGTAGTGTTATCAATCAAGATAAATGACTTGAATCACATCGATTACAGGCCACAGTAGGTTCTGCTGAGTTTCTTCTTCTGCTCTGCAGTTTAGAAATTGCCGGAATAAATCATCCTGGGCACCTCTGCTCCCCCAACCTTTGTTTCAGTCACCAGAATCATATCTTGGCTCGTCAGGTCATTTGAGCCGCCCCAAGCTTCAGCCGAAAGGAGTCTTGCCCATAGTGGATTGGTATGTGTGGAGTTATACAGAATTCCGCTAGGGGTAACCATCTGCTCCAGTTTGTTGGTGTACTATGCACGAAGCAGCGCAAGTAGGTCTCCACACACTGATTAACCCGTTCCGTTTGTTCGTCCGTCTGTGGATGATGTAAAGAACTCATTTTCAGCTCCACACCTTGCAACGTGAATATTTCTTGCCATACTTTACTGGTGAACACAGTGTCTCTGCCATGCTTCTGGCATGCCATGAAGCTTGTAAATCTGATCG